CTTAGTGGGTGCCGACATGACCCTAAGTGGATGGGGGTGTCATCCACCACTTTAGTGGGTAGTTGTGGGTGGATGGGGGTGTCATCCACCACTTTAGTGGGCAGTTGTGAGCGGTTTTGAGAGTTTGCCTATATATTGCTAATGTGGGTTTTGTAGAGGGGGCAGATTGAGAGTGAGACACAGAGTTGTGTTGTGAAAGACTCTTGTATGCTTCTGCAGATACAGAGTTGTGTTGTGAAAGACTCTTGTATGCTTCTGCAGGTTGATGCCTTTCCTTGTATTGTTTTGTGAATAATAGTAAAAGGTTGGAAGCTTTGTGCTTCTGTAAAGTCGTGGGTGTTATTATCTTTACATTCTTGCAACTATACTTGTGTGTAAGAGTGTTTTACTTGCTGTGTGTTTTAGGCAGCAAGTGTGAGTTGGCTGAGCTAAGTTAGAAATTTAGAGAAAAGTTGTTCATATTTCTGGCTTAGTGCCATCACAGGGCACTAGATTCGTGTTCAGAATTTATCCCTGTGACACCAAGCCATAACAGCAGTACAGAGGCAAAAAAGCCGAGACAAAAAAGGCATACAATTTTTTTTTTTTAATTCATGATTTCACTTTTATATTAATTATATGGAATTTAATAGTTTAATAATGTCTATTACATAGTGCATGAAATATAGAAAATGAACAAATAAATTAAAAATGGGACAAAATCTGACCCGATCTTTTGCAACTTGACCATACATGCGTTAAGAGATCTGATGTGTTAATTGGACTTGAGTTTGAAATGTTGGAATTCAAAATCAAATTAAATTGAAGTTGCTTAGAAGGGTTTCGTATCTTGAATTGATCCTAAAGTAACTATTGCTTCGCATCATTGGAATAGACTCAAATTCATGAATTAGAATCTATTTTTGTCATGTGTTTCTACTACATATGCCAATGTAATTACACCTTTAAATTGTATAAATGCGACAAATTGAATCAATAATGCAACAACGCACCAATACAAATTTGTTCTGATTTAATAATATTATAACATTACTATAACACGATATACTATATTACATATGTGTTATATCTTCAATATAACAATGTTTTATAATTGTTTAAAAAAGTGTCACACCAACTTTACATTTTGTGATGTAGGGTAACTATGTAACATTATAATATAGTTTTGTTGCACTATGATGTAGATATATTGTACCAGTGCACATGATTCCACGTACACAAGGGGATTTGGGTTCCAAATATATACTGTATATACACACACACACATGCATACCTTGATTATGAGATTATTAGTGTGAAATGGTTTCAGCGGTAATCTTTAGATGCAATGTATAAGTATGATTCTTTGAACCGAAACTGGAAAGGTCATTAACAACTCTTGTGATTTAAATTTACAGTAGACAGACTGTCAACTTTTCAACAAATTAAATCTATGGTCGCACATTGTCTTACATAGAAAACCGAGAAGGTAGACTGAAATGCCTCTGATACACTGAACAATTATAACCAGACGAACGTCAGTCAATATTATCTTAACAGCACCAATATAATTTAATTAGAACTAATCTACTTAAATAATCACAAATTATCACCGCAATTAACGGTCAGACTCGCATCATGTCGGAGCTAAATAATAAATGGTAGTTTAGTTAGTTATTAAAATAATATGTTTTGTCCAATAGTAATAGATTATTAGATTCTGTAACTTCAAATAATTAGGAAAGAGTTCATAGTTCACGCCTATATATATAATCATGTGAATTTATTCTTCAAAATATGCCAAGAATATGTGGAGAACATGGGGTTCAGTTCCACATATTTCTCTAATATTAATTCTTCATAAGTTTGAAAAAGAAGTTTTGACTTTGAGTTCATGTATGTTAATTTAATTTGATAGATTATTCAATTCCACTAATTAAACCAGAGCTTAGTGCAAAAAGTGAACCTAGGGATTGAATCCCTATTAATCAATTCATGATTCAGAAAGGAAAATATTCAGTGTTAGGCTACCTCTGTGTGCGGTTTGCCGGTTTGGGATGGAGATGACCATGATGCCCTCCTGCTAGTTAGGGGGTGGCAAAATAGACGGAGAAGGAAATTCATTGAGTAATTTAGTGATTAGTGAGTTAAGTCACATAAAGCAGGAGGCAGAGCACCCGGAGCGTAAAAACGACATTTTATAAAAAAAATTGTGTAACTTAATCAGTGAGTGTAAGGTCATCAAAGGCATTTTTGGAAACCAAAAAAGCATAGGCTCGGGTCAATCTTGCCACGGAAAAACTAGCAAAGATTTTGAGTACGTGACCAGTCCCAGACTCCCAGTCCGACTGAACAACTCAAAAAATAAACTGAGTTTTAGCAAAAGCCATCAAAGGGGAGGTTGTTAAGAAAAGAGAGTATTCACTGTGAGATGAAAGGAAATAAATTATTACTATTTTCTCAAACATATAAAGGAATACATTTATATGACAATATGAGGATAATGAGAAAATATTTCAATTTTATCCAACGTATATCGTTTCTTTCTCTCTCTCTCTCTCTCTTTTTTTCTTTCAATTATATCCTTCAATTACTTTTTGTAATTAAATTTCATTTTTGTGATCAAATGTGCATGGTAGTCATACATTGTATAAAATAAAAAATATAATAATGGTATATATAATACATAATATGAATAAATATATAAAATTTAAATTTATATGTAGTTGCATTCACAACTATGAATTTTATTTTATATATTTTTTTAATTCTTTTTTTAAATTAAAAATATGGTGATGCATGAGACAGAAAATATAAATTCAAATATTAATATTCAAAGAAAAATTAGAGAGAGAATCTTTTAGTTAAATTTATACAATTAGGCAAATTGTATAAAACTCCTCTTAACCCTCTTAACCAGGGACGGAGCCATAATTTTTTTTTTCAGGGGACATTGTACAATAAATACATATTTACATAATAGTATATGGAAAATGATTCTTGCACTGAATACTTGTAGTGAATTGCTAGATTTACTCTTTTAATTAGTCAATTATGCAATAAGTAATGAAATGGAGCTCCCACTTAGTTGTATTTGGTATAAATAACCAATTCAAAATTATTTGGTTAGACATTTTACTATAAATGTTCGGTGTGAGTATACTACTCATAATATATATACCTATTAATTAGTGTTTATGGAGTATATATATGTAGAGAGACATAGGTGGATATATATATAGTGAGATTTATATTTTTTGGATTAAGTAAATTAATAAATTAGATATATAGAATATAATGAAACAATTTAAAAATTTTTAATTTTAAGGAAACATATTTTGTATACAAGGGAAAGAGAAATTCCAAGGGGACATTTTTACACATTTCCCAAAAATGTATACATATTATAGAAAATTATATATAAAAAATAAGGGAAAGAAAAAATCCAAACAAATCAATGGCAGAAAAAGGAAAAAACAATTGTATACTTTTTTTTTTTTTTTTTGGAAGAAATCAATGGCAGAAAAAGAAAAAAATAATTACTAAGAAGGAAGAGAGATAAATGGACGATACCCAGAAAAAGGAAATTAATCATTGTCTATTTGTTTGATTCATGAGTAAATTGTTTGGACTCTCATGATTTATAATATCCCAAAGAGTTTGTAATTTAAATCAATGTAATGGTAAATTATACGCAACATCCCAACATAATCATACTGGATGATAGTCATTGACTCTAATCGGAGAAACACTAATTCAAATTATAATCTACTTAACATGTAAAATCCCAACAAAATCTTAAGTAGTACATAGTTTGTTTCATGCTTATGTTATAAGTACACTACTTACATAGTTTGTTTCATGCTTATGTTATAAGTACACTACTTAACAAAATCCCAACAAAATCCTACCTAACAAAATCCCAAGTAGTACATAGTTTGTTTCATGCTTATGTTATAAGTATAATCTTAACGAAATCCAACTAAAAGAGTAATTGTAGTACGTAATTGAGTAAGAGAAGGATCAAGAACAAACACGAAAAGAGAGGAACACCATGACATGATTTATTAATCAATGAACTAACAATTTTTAGACAAAGTGAAGAAAATTAACATGTAAACAATATGAATTTGGAATGAGCCAACAATTGTTTAGACAAAAGAAACAAATTTGACGATAATCAAATGAATTTCACTGAACCCCAAAATAAAATACAGAGACAAAGTAGAGAGAGGAAAGCAGCCCCAAAATAGAATATCAGTGATCAAGTAGAGAGAGGAAGATGAAACAAACCAGACCCACCTTGTCTATTAAAATAAAAATAACTTATACCGTATTTTGAAAATAATATTTAAAGTTTTTATATATATGTAATACAACTTAAAAGGATGGTGAAAATTTAGTTACTCAAGTTTTTTAATTGACGTGGCGCTTTCATAACCACTTATTTGAGAGAATTTTACCTTTACTACAAAACATTACAAGTCAAGAGGATTTTAATGAAATTCGCCCTACTTTTATGCTTTGTAAGAAAGTGTTTGTGTCTAGAATTTTAATTCTTTATGTCATGTTTCTTGGTCTTAGATTCTATATATGTTTGTTTATTTTTGTCGGGAAAAATCCACTTTTGTAGAGCATGCTCACTATCTAATGAATGGATTTTCTTGTGCTTATGGTCCTTAATTTGTGTCTCTTACATGACAAAATTGTTTTGTCTGTTGATAAATTATTTATATCTCTATGGTTGTAATATGTTATTTATTTTCGTGGCAGATTTTTGCCACTTCTTTGAAACTGAAGAGGGCAAAGACTGCTTCTTGTGAGTGCCAGACAGTGGAGCACTCAGGCCTAATAAAACATAAATATCCCAATCAAGATTAAAGTGAAGTTTTGGGTCATCAAAAGTATGGTCCAGATTCTGATACTAGCCCAACCCACTTTAGTTTGGACCTACAAACTTATGCTCTGGCCTTCACTGGCCCAACCCTGCCTTTTTTAGACCGTTAAAGTTAAGAGTGTCATTTTTTTTTTTTTTTTTTTTTATTTTTTTTTAAGTGGGTCTGTCTGGTCTCTATCTAAATAAATAAATAAAATATAGGATATATATATATATATATATATATATATATATATATATATATATATATATTTCAGTGTAGGATTCGAAAAATATCATTTATACATTAAAAATTGATTAAAAAAAACTAAAAATTTATACATTAAAATAATTAATAATAAAAATATTTTTTGCCATTTCTCATAATTCATGTATAAATGTTGGCCACTTCAGTTAATTACAAAGTGCAAACTAATTTGAAATCGGTCATATGCAAATTAGAAGTTGTTCCTTAAATCATCTTAAATTTTTAACCTATAAAGAGGGCCATGTCACACTTTCGAATTTAAATACAATAACATCTAATTTATACTTAAAATTAGTGAATGACTTCACTTCAACAATCATAACTCATCAACCGCTATTAAATAAAATATATCACCAACTAAAATATCATCCATTTTAATAAAATTTAAATCAACAATAAAGAATCCCATCTCCATCACATGGCTATCATGATCACATGATCACACAAGTAACAAATAAAACTAAAATACCATAATAAGACTAAATATCTCTATAGTACTATTACATGTTATCTTCAAGTTCAAACTCGATGTGTACCTGAAATTTTAGAATAGAGAGAATGAGTTTGGGAACGTTGAATAAACAAAACATTAAAATTAAATGACAATAATTATAATCACAATATATATTGCCGTTAGCAGTTAACGTCATTAAATTAATTAGTACTCCATTACTCGATATTCTTCAACAAGCCATATCATGGCTCTAATTTCTATATTGTTTGATTTTTCATAGACAGTAATTTTTCATATAATCACAAATTTTTCCTCTCATGGGATTGATGGCATTACCTCCTCACAGGGATTGTCAGGGACAAACCAGATCAACCGTGAGGTCCGTGAAAGGAAATATATATATATATATATATTGAGATATACATATAGGTCCGAGAGAATTACCTGTGAGATATACATATAGAAGGCAACTCTGGTTCAAAATAAGGAGACATGCATCAATCTGAGACGCATTTGAAAAGAGGAACAAAAACAGAGCGAGTTTCTTCATTATACCATTCCAACTTATCCCACCATTCTCTGTGACATTGAATTGATTGTAGTGTGTGTTTGGCGGTGTTGGAATCAAATGGAAGTTTGTCAAGCTTGGGACAGTTGCGCACACGAATTGTGGTGAGAGAGGGGAATGGCAATGGATGAGTGTAGATGCTCTTCAACTTTGGTAGTGTGTCCAGGTACAGTCTTTGTAGCTTTGAGAATCCGCTCAAACTTCCTTCCCTGCTAATTTCGCTACTACTGCTGCAACCCATATCTTTAATCACCTCTTCCATTGCATCACAGTAATAAATGCTTACAAAATGAAGGTTTGGCGCGCTAATTAGCCATGTTAGATCCTTCAAAACCTTGCACCTCCAAATATAGACCGTCTCAAGGCTATGGAAGCTTCTGTTAGGAGGACTGTCTTTGTATGGTATGACTGCTCTCTCTCTCTCTTCATCTTCCCAGCTGCTCATCCAATCCATTGACGTCCCATCTGCCACATCCGATAAATTTGGAACGATCCAATCCATTAACAACTCCTCTAAACCATCACAATTTCTAATTTCAAGGGTTTCTAGTCTCTTCATGTTCTTCTCTAGAGAAGACATTTGTAGTGAAGTCGAACCTCCTCTGTATTGTTCGATGTCTAGATGAAATGTGCAACTTCGTAACTTGTGTGAACTTGATAATTTTTGGAGTGCTGCCTCACTTTTTACCGTCAACGATAAATATTGCAAGTGATTCAAGCATTCTAATTCATCCAATAACAATTCATGTCCACCAATCAAAATGCTACCTTCGCCAGTTCTCTTTGAAACACCACTACCATTCATCTCCAATATTTGCAGCATCGAAAGATTTGATATAACTTGTGGTGGGATAATTTCAAGTTTTCTCATAAATTTCATAAACAAATACTTCAACTTTGCCAATGACTTAAACTCGATTGGCAATTCCCTTATGCTTGTCCCCGATAGGTCAAGATGTTGCAAAGAAAACAACAGAAACAAGCTTGCTGGCAAATTTGTTAAATATTTGTTTAGTGAAAGGTCTAAAACTTTGAGAGCAGGCATAAATTGGAAGAAGTTATTGGAAATGGTTCTCAAAGGATTGCGACGAATATTTAAAGTCAACAGATTGGGGCATCTCGGAGTTCCGCTTAATTCTTCAATACAATTTTCCATCAACGATATCTTTTCAGTCTCCTCCCATTTAGAAAGAGCCGGTGTCACCGACAACTTAAGACCTGCTTGCACCAAGTACTTCCTCCCACTCTCTAAAAGAATCCACAATGCCATGTCCCGAATCACGTCATGCATTTTGAAATCGTTACTTCCTTTTTTAGAGCATTCCAACAAACAAGCAAGCTTCAACCTCCCTATAATATCATGACCCAGGGAGAAAGCCTCATCAATGTTATCACATTCATCCAAAAGTCCCTCTCCTATCCAACTCGTTATGATAAAAACTTTTGTAATACTCACATCTTCAGGGAGAAAAGAACAATATAGGAAGCAAGTCCTAATTGTTTCATCACATAAGCTGTCATAACTGAACTTTAAAAGAGGAAGTACTTTGTCTCCCATACCTGAAAATTGGGAAGTAGACTTCTTCAACACGCTTATTGCATAATTCCATTCTTGGGGAGTTTTCTTGGTAGACATGGCTCGTCCAATTGTAATCAGCGCAAGTGGCAAACCAGCACATTCTTTGCAAACGACTTCGGCTAGTTGTCGTATGGCTGGATGTGAATTGAGGGTCTCTTCTCCCACCTTTCTTTGAAACAAATCCCAGGCTTTTTGCCACATCAAGCATTCAACTTTAATCTTCTTTTGCACTTCCATAAGGCCGCACAATTGTTCAGATCGGGTCGTGAACACTACCTTGGCCTTATTTTCACTGTTTGGAAGCGGAACTCCCACTTGAAGAAGATCAAGTCGCTCCCATATGTCATCCAACAGCAGCACAAATTTCTTCTGCTTCAAGACCCTAAAGATGGCTTCCCTTTTCTGATGTTGGCTTTTATTGCTCCATGTCTCGTCTGGAAATCCTAGCTTCTCCCCAATTTCATCTTGAACCTTTTCCACAACAAGATCTTTAGACACCACAATCCATATTACCTCATCGAACTCTCCTGTACTCAACTGAGTTGCAAGTTCATTGTTGAGTTTCTTCAAGAGGGTTGTCTTTCCAACACCCCCCATTCCATATATTCCGATGATTCCCACACCATCATCTCTAAGGAAATTCAAGACCTTGTCAACATTTGAATCCAAGCCCACAGTCGTCTCGAGAGGCATTTCTTCGGCACGAGCCCGGGGCAATGTTACAACCACAGGGATGTTATTACCTTCACTCTTCATATCAGACACAGCTTGTAATTTTTGACATACTTTCTTGCCGAGTTTATGGCTAGAAAGACAATTTCTGGGACAAATTCTGAGACACTTTTTCTGAATCTCTTGAGCACCAAGTTGGAGAAGCACTTCCACTTCCCTCTCCAGTTCTTCTACTCTTCCAAGCCAGTCAACAATTTGTTCCGTGCGCTTCATAAGTGGGCCCTCAGCAGCTTCAATTTTAATATTCACATCGTTTCTTTGCGCTCTCAATGTCTGCATTTCAGAACTCAAAGAGTTGAGATTATGTTGGAGATGACGAATATAGTTGGTAGTGTTTCCGATGCAACCACATAATCGGCATGTAACATCTAAGATTGGGCTCACAAAGTCCATTGCTAGCTCTTAAGAAGCTAAGCACGATTACAGGATTTCAGGAAAAGACGGAGAGACTCGAGGAGAGGAAGAAAGACTCGGAAAGAAAAACAAAGACGGTAGAATTCAAAATAAAAGACTTATAATGCTCAGCTACTCCATGATAATAAAATAATACATCATTATTAATAACAAAATAACTCATGCCCTTCTCTACTTTCTTGGATCAATTATTGAATAAATTGTGCCTAACTTTTTTATTATTTTGTTAATTTTTTATTTATTTATTTATTAAAACTGATGTGTTATAACTTACCCGTAAGTAGCTAATCATTATCCAAAAGAATTTATTAAACGAGATTTTTATAGAAATTAATGATTCAGCATTAAATTATATATATATATAATTTTTTTCGAGCATCATTTTTAGGAGGTTAGATTCATGGGTTCTGGTATCGTTCTTGGTATTGATTGCGACGGACAAATTCATTATAAACTGACCGATATGAATCGCGGTATCATGTATGCGACGATAACCGTTATACATCTAACCAAAGCTTTTTCTCCTTTTATGTTGCTATAGGATAAGAATTAGAATTTATTTAAGAAAAAAAGGAAAGAGTTATAAGAGAATAGAATTAGAATAAAAGGTAAATTATTTTTAGAAAAAGAATACAATTAGATAAAAATAGATGATTTAGGAAAAAGATAAATTTATTATTAAAATGCATTATAAATATTAAATAAATAAATAATTTAAAATTTCTGTACTTTTAATAATAGCGGGTGTGTGTGTGTGTATATATATATATATATATAGTTATATTGAATTTTTTGTGGACTGTCTTTGGCCTAGAAGCCGATAGATGACTTTTACCAGACGAGACACTTTTGTCAATTGTTTGAGTCCCTCAGTCGATTTAACTTTATGATGACTGAGGTTTGTATGTAACTAAATTAAATAAGTTTCATATGGTTAGATAAAAATAGTAAGAAAAGAAAATATAGAGAAAGAGTAATTTTTCTTAAACCCCTAATCTTTTCATATATTTTTTTTTTATTTACAAAAAGCCACAAAGAATTTTTTTAGAAAGTTTTATAAATAGACAATAATACATTTTTTTTTTTTTGTAAGTTTCATACTAAGTGCATGCATGTTAGATAAATTTTATTTTTCATTCACCCAACTTTCTTTTATGATTTTCACTTTTTGTTTTTTTCTAACCAAACAAAACCTAAATAAAGTATAAGAGTAATCATGCAACCCAATTATTTTCATTGGATGTTGAAAGAAGTGGTAGGTTCCTTGTTTTCTTTTGATCAGTGCGAAAAGGACCTCCACGCTAGATGCTTCCTGCGAGTGGAGTAAAGTAGAATGAGGTTGAAAAAAGGCAAAAGAAAAAGAAAAAAAGTTGGGACCATATAAAGACAAAGGTGTATCTTCTTTTTTCTAATTTTTTGGTTCAAAGGTATACAACCTCGTTTTCTACTCTAATGCATGGATTGTGAGTACAACGTAAAAGGAAAAGATCTAATAATTTATGTCACTGACTCATTCAAATAGAACAAATGCAACAATGAAGATGGAGATCGGATAATGTAATTTAAGTAAGGATGAAGATTGGAGCAGTGAGACTCAAAATATGTGAATGAAGCAATCTCCATATGAAGAGATTCAGGTCCTATACACAAATGAGGGGGAACACAATTATTTGCGATGGATGGCAAAAGTAGAGCAAATGGAGGAATAAAGTAAAAAGGCGTTCAAGTTTGGGTCCCCTCCCCCACTATCTCACGCAAGTGGAGTGATCTGTAAAATAGAAAGAGATATGTTTTTGAGTTACAAAAATTTTCTTTCATATCTACAATTCGATATTGCGGGGGAATCTTAAGCCTATTAGGGCCTTTTGTTGGAAAAAGGTTGGGAAATGAAATGATTCAGATTTATCGCAGCTTTTCAAGAATTTTAATGTTTGAATCGAGGGTTCATATTGTAAGACTTATCTAATCTTATCAATTGTTAGAATTTTTTTCTCGAATGTTCTTTCGTAGTATTGTAATTGAAATCCATCTTCGTATGAAATTAAGGCACAATGATGAATTGAAAATTCCATCTTTAAGCCAACAATACTTGTATAATCAAAGAGAATGGCGTTCTTGAAATTTTTTATTTTTTTCGAAGTCATAGGAAATGTGTTGAATTATAAGAAGAAATGTACAGACCCAAGGCCAATTATAAGGCCCAAAGTCGAAACAAGTAACAAGCCCACATGATAGTTGAGTTAAAAACATGGAAAATAATACCAGCCCAGCCCAGCCCAACAATCAAATCCAATAATACAAAAGCAACTAGCCGTTACAATAGATGAGATGACTCTATTTTCGTCAATAACCGGAGTTTTAATTCAGTTACTTTTCTGATAATTCAAGATTTGAAATCATATTGAGAGTCTGTGGTTTTTTCTCCCTCTTTAAGTTATCCATAGAATTTTTAGTTGTCACTTTGTACTTGCGTTGTTGATATGATTAAGTTGCTTATGACAAGTTTATTATTTGATTATGTTGACGAGTGTCTCACTTTCGAATCACATTCTTAATTTGAATGGTACGTGTGTTGTGATGTCGATACAAGTATTATAAGAAGAAAAAATAATAATTAAAAGTTTATTCCTTTTTAATCACTTCAAGAGAAAAAATGATTATCATGGATTTTTAGTTCATTCTCAACACTAAGTTACTCTCTGGATAAACAAAAAAGGTTCATGATGTTGAATAGTGAGCAGTCCGATTTAATTTAGCATGTGGTTGAAGAATTTCCCCAGAGTTCGTTTGTATTGCTTGTGTTCAAAATTGGGGCTCTATTGTAATACCCCATAATTTTGGAACACGGGTTGATCAAGTCCGCGCACAAAATCAAGGAGTATCAAAAAAATTTTAGTATTTAATAAGCACAGAATACAAAGATGAAATAAAAGAATAAATAATACACGGAAGAAAAACTAATAAATAAACATTTTTCATTAATAACTCGCCAACGGTTACAACTCGGGAATCCCGAAACTTAAGGACCCCTTCACCAAAATCTACTGTGCATAAATCCATTAATAATTACTGGAGTAAAAATATCTTACTTTGAAATAAAAATAGAAGGAATGGATAAGTCCTCCAGTTGCGGATCCTCAACTTTGAGACTTGAATTTCAAATAACCTGAAAAATAAATCGTGGGTTAAACCCTACGAGCAAGTTTACTCTACCAGACCTCTGAAAACCAATAAGTAGATCATCTCTGATCAAAACCAAACTTAATAAAATTTTAAATTTACTAAACAATGATACGCATATGTATAGATAATTATATACGATATAACCTTTGCATCCATTAATAGTTTCATTAATTTTCAAAACCATTAAACCATGATTAAAACATAACCACACCTAAACCAATTCAAAACTCATTCTCTTTAAAAGAGAAACCCCTTTAACCTTAACTCCATTTTAAATAATTATTTAATCATTTAAATAATAAAATATAATTCAAGGAAAACTATAATCCAAAAGCCAATAATGAATTTAGCTAATTCACACATAACAATTAAATTACGCTTTGACAAATCAACCATGCCCTAATCAATATATTTATTTATATATGGCAACTCAACCATGCCTCCCTAAGTATATATATGTATACTTTTAATTAGCAACTCATCCATGCTTTCCATGTATGTAATTTATTCATACCAATACTTAGGCAATATATTTATGCCTATGGCAACTCATCCATGCCTACAATTCAACCATGTACCAACTTTAGACTCAACAATAGCTAATTCATACATAGATATCTCATGTAGAAGCATATGACTAATTTAATAATCTGCCTATCCAGATATATCAAATAAGAATAATAATCTTAAATGATATATATACATACACATAAATAAATATGTATAATACCATCTATAAAAATTCTTGATTATTTAAATCATATATGCATATATATTAATAAATATACATATATACACATCCCTCCATAATTATCCTAACCAATTAAACAATATATACACATATATATTATACAATATATACCAATTATCCCTCCATAATTATCCTAACCAATTAAACAATATATACACATATATAAATAACAAGCTTGAAATATCTCCCTGGGTGGTTGGTTTAAACCTTAACAAGCTTGGAATCCAATATGAGAATTCACTGAACCCCTTAGAACCTTTCCGGGACCCTAAATACTTCTCCACGCGCCGCCACGCGCCGCTAAAATCCACCAAACATTCCTCATGCGCTTCCACGCGCCACCACATGCTAATAGGTGACCTCACGCGCAGCCACGCGCTGCACACGCGCCAGCTTCTTCTTCTGGGTGATGTGGCACCTCCAGATTGGCTGTAATCCACCCAGCCGCATGAGCGCACCCGCACCGGATCAACCGCTACTCATCAACGCATCCCAGCCCTTTAAAGCTTGCGCGCACTCTACTACTGTGATTCGCAATGCACCGGATCCTTTCTATTGATCAGCCAACATCCAATGGCCTCTGACCTTCTGCGCACTGAAGCTCCATGTGCCGCACCACACTGAATCACCCTATTATTGTTTATGGTTCTGATTCACACACACACCAAGTTACAGTAGGCTGCGCCACACTGAACCAACACCCACTCTTTGATGCGCCGATTTCATACCTCCAGATTATATAAACAGTATATATATATATATATATATATATATATATATATATATATATATCCTAACAAATATATTAAAAATATATATCTCATAAAATTCCTAAAAGAAAAATACAAAATAATACCAGAAAATTCCACAAATTCTATAAAACCTAATTAATCCTCTTGGGTCACAGTTCCACCTATACATTGATTTTAAAATATATATACAACCTCTATATATACAAATAAAATCCTATAATCCAAACTAATAGTTTATAATAATTCATCCTTTTAAATAATCCGATTTAACCAATAAATATAAAGATATAATAATTCATATTTTTTATTAATCCATTCTAATTATAATTTAAGTTAATAATTTAATTAAAGCCTTGATATTCAAAGTGAAAAACTTATGGGTCCTAAGAGGAAAGTTAGAAAAGAACTTGCCT